AAAATGGCCGGACTTTGCACTTACAAATTTAGAAATGAGGTTAGCGTAATTTCCTAAATCATGACAGATCAACAGTAAATCAATGCACGGAAAAATAAACCGAGTTTAGTTTTTATGGAAAAGGAATTTTGTCAAACAAAAGTTGCAGAACTTGTGCGCCCGATTGACCGACTAAAATTATAAGGGTGCTACTAAATACGGGATTTACATGGTTACGGGATTTACATACGACAGTTACATAGTAATAGTGAAAGTTTCTAGTAATACGTCATTGATTAATCCACTGTATTAGATCACATCACGCAAGTTAGGATTTTGTTCTTAGTATCTTCTCAATACAAATGGGCGACCAACTCGAATCCGTGCGAGAAAAATTACAAAGACTGAGGGAGAGATAGACCGCATTAAAGCTCTCCCGGCTGGTGACCCAGAGCGGCCGGCATTCCTTGCCACTCTCCCGTCTCTGTCTGCTTTCCTCGTTGAATTACAGAAGAAAGAAAATCTTCTGTTGGAAGAGTCAGGGAAAGGTAACGACTTTGTGACTCGGCGTTGGGGACATAGAGTAGTGTGTACATAGGGTAGATAGATGTAGTACATAGCAATATTGGTTGTAACATAGTTTTATTAGAGTGTATGCAAGAGAAGAGCTTCTGGTTAGAACAAAAAAAGACGTGGGGTGACGCGCTAGCAGCTTCTCAACCAGATAACGACTTTGTGACTCGGCGTTGGGGACATATAGTAATATGGGTTTCATACATAAGAGAGTACGAATCAACAATTTTTTTCATTGCGGCTCATATCTGCTATTTATTGCATGCGTACACATTGCACTTTGCTCACTAATATTTATCATTTTGTCGCTACAATTTATCCGTCAACAAATCAAACTCCTTTGCTCCATTTCGTCGGACTCATGTAGGACGTCGACGCTCACGATCATCCTCACCGTCGTCCTATCAAGCAGCACGTAAGAGTAAGTCTGTACAGAATATCTCTTTGAGGAAATCTTTTATTTATGAGTTCTTCAGGAGACCTGGGTTCATATTGGGGAATTTCTTGTCTGATCTTATCCAGGGATACGCACATTCGCGCCAGCTAACGGAGCATACCCGGAGTCCCACTTCTACATTGAGAATACAGACGCGATCGAAAAGCTGGGCACGTTTCTGTTCGAACGAAAGTTTTGCCTCGTATGTGGGCACAGACAGAGCGGGAAATCGACCATTGCATTTGCTCTGAAGCGGTGGCTTTACAGCTGTTCATGGGCGTCCGATTTTGCAATATGCTACATATCTTTCAATAGTGGAGTTGTATTCGACGAGGGAGTCGAAAAGTTCTGGTGGTCGATGCTTGACTCGTTACGTGTCGCAGATCGGAATGTATTTTCTTTCGATAATCGTAAGGGGATCGCAACATCAACTGCCTTCAAGGAATTCTTCTCGAAGACATGTTCTTATCCGCGAAAGCCTACAATTCTTATCATCGATGAGGCATCGAAAATGTATGATTTAGGCAAGAACAATGTCGATGTCAACACCGACAAGATTATTAACGAATTCATCGCGACATTGCGGGATCTTAGAGATGACCGTGATCAGTACTGGTTGTACTCTGTCGTACTGCTGGGCACCGAGTCAGTCAGGGAGGTCCTGGCCACCCGTCAAAGGCCTGGATCGTCTTCGTTAATATCTCCATTCTCTGCGGAGGCGAGTTTCGACACGGTCCGGTTTACAGTAAACGAGATTGAGGATCTACTTCGCCAGTTTTCCGAGGAAAACGGGTTCCAGCTCGATCTAACTGAAATTGCTGCAGACATTTTTCATCTCACCTTTGGACATAAGGGACTTGTTGGCTTATGCGGATTTTATCTCGAGTACTTTGTTGTGAACGGCAAACGCAGTGTTTCGTTCGATGACTGGACGAAACACACTACTGTTGATTTACCTATATTCGTAATGGGACAGGCAACCTACTATTCCATCATTCGAGCACTCAGACACCTTTCGGTGAATCAGACGAAAATTCTTGGCCTGGTCCTCCGCGATGGAACCCATATAGCTTTTCGGGTAAGTCTCGTTTCGCTTTTGTTCTATGAAGCATTTAGCCTGATACATTTTCCCTACCGTTGATCAAGGACGATAATGATGTGAAGTTCCTACTAGCGGAGGGAATGGTAGTAATTCAGAAACAACTGAATATTCGAGAGGTTATAATCCAGTGTTCTGCACCCCTTCTTCGGAGCATGATGCTTTCACACATAAGTGGGCCTAGAGTCGACCTAGCCGAAAATGTGCCAGATGTTAATGTTCTTGATGCACAGTGGTTGCTGGAGCGTACCATCGAAGTGAGTAGTTGTGGAAACCGTTTGCATCAGGACAAAACACATTTAATTGACTATATGCTTCGTTTATGCAGAACCTATCCATTCAGCATATATTCTCTGAGCAGACCGCCAATGCAAACAGCTATCCGTCTGACTACGCGTTTCAGTTCGAATTTATCACAGTCTTCAAGTGCCTGCTTTCTCGGGCCCATCCACATCTTCTCTACCGCGTTCTTCCCGAGGCGAAAGAGTTTGATGAAGATGGTAGGTGGCATCAGCGACTAGACATACTTCTTCGTAATGGCAACCAACCTGCATATGGATTTGAACTCGTCGTTGCGGCGAGTAGGACTGAGTTTGACAAACACTGCGTACGTGCTAACGAGTACGGTCGAAACCATAGCTGTTCCATGTACATGGTGAATCTCTGCGCCAACGAGAAGCTGGCAGGGTACTTTGGACCGAGAAACGTAGCGATTACTCCAGTACATGTGATTTTAGATGTAAAAAGGGGGGTTGCACATCTGGTATTTGAAAACGAAAAAAAGTCCGTGTCAATCAAGGGTGGTGCGTGGCAAGTGGTCTTTGAATAAATCCTCGTTGGGTAATTGATCGTTCTAGCTTATTATTACACGAGCGAAGTCTGGACAAATTTCCAAAATAATAGTGATTGATATCACACTACAATCAAACCTGAGATAACGTATAGCTTTTTGAGTCCACTAACTCTTATTAAACTTCCACCGAGGGTATCTCAGGTTTGACTGTATTTGCATTTAAGGTCGGTTATCTCGTGGATTGCATTTCAACAAAGAATTCGTTGCATTAACAGATTTGTTGCTATTATTCCGAGACTCCCTTTGCTTTCATTTAATATTTGTGGCGGCTATTACCTTTTACACAGCATAATAGCTATCATTATTGCGATTCAGGAGTTCTACGTCCGTATTCACCTTCAATGTTTGACATGCCTGCGATGAAGGCATCATTCCTATTGAGACAACAGAATTTCTCAATGCGGCATTATCTAACACGTGGATACGAAGAGAGAATGGTGTAGCTGTTATAAGTTCATAGTAGAGATAAAGTTTTTGGTGATGTTCGCTGTCAGTTAATAAATCTTTCATTTTTTTCTCTAACAATAAAAATACGTATGTAAAAGTGAAAATTTGCTTTCTCAGTAATTTCGAAATTACAATCGTGATATATTATTATATAATGAGTGCGTATAAGAACGAACGCCCTTACATAATTGCCCAATTT